AAATCAGTAATCGTCGGAATCGATCTCTCTTTTTTTTTTTTTTTTTTTTTTTTTTTTTTTTTTTTTTTTTTTTTTTTTTTTTTTTTTTTTTTATAGAAAACCTAAGCCACGATAATTGGAATGACGAGTGGCCCACTTATCTTGATGGCGAGGCGTAGGCATTTAATATCGTCGATAAATAAGAGTTACGTCGTCTTACTTTCTGCGTATTTATGAGGGTATGCGAAAGACGATAATACGGCAAGAGGAACGATGGCGAATTTGGTAGGAGAGCTTCGTTTTCACATCTACGACCCTTATAAATAAATTTCGTTGAGAAAATAAGAAGACATTTTGCGGGAGAAACGTATAAGAGAAAGAGAGAAAAGAAGAGGGAAAGAAAGAAAGAAAGAAAGAAAGAGAGAGAGATATAGAGAGGGAGAAAGACAGAAAGAGAGAAAGAGAGAGAGAGAGAGAGAGAGAGAGAGAGAGAGTGAGAGAGAAAGAAAACGAATTTTATCGGATCGCAAAGTCCCAGCCTGAAGAATAACTTTTGTCGTTGAAACTTTACGAGAGGGTAAGTCGAATTAAGCTTAAGTAGTGCTTCCTAAAGGCTCTGCAATTATAATACGAGACGGCGGAGAGAACGACCATGACAGTTCGCAGCGGCTACTCCATCTCAAATTGGACGGTCCTCGTATTTTTATTATGCACGCAATTAAGAACATTTCAGAAAGATATAACGAGGACGGTTTGGTTCCGTGAAAATCGCAATTACTTTGAAGCATTTCCACACGATGGACCCCCGATTTTATTTCTCCGTTTCGTTGGAACGAACGAAATTTTTCGATATCGTTTGAGAAAGTAAAAAAAGGAAAGGACGAAAAAAGTACGAAGAAAAGAGAGAAACAGAGAGAGAGAGAGAGAGAGAGAAAGGGATAAAACGGAAAGTATAAAAAAAAGGGGGATGGAAAAAGAAAAAAGAAATAAATCCATGAAATAGCATCGACGAAATCGTGAGATTGATGATTATCGATAAAACATAATTTCTATCGGACGTACGCGTAACGATAACAGTTTTACGGCGTTATATTTTCGTTCTTTCTCTTGTTGGTAACAAATCGATCGTTTCGAAAATGACGCACGTTAAAATTTAATGCGAATAATTCAATAGACGTGTCTCCCACAATCGATATTTCACATTTCGCACAAACAAAATAATATGAGGAGAAAAAAAAAGGAAAAAAAGGAAAAAGAGAAGAAAAAAGGAAAAAAGAAAAAAAAAGAACAAACCGATAACGATGCGAAGTAAAACGAAGAGGCAAACGAAATATCCCGTTCGAACTTCAATTAACGTTACCCCTCGTAATTTTTAATACCGGAAAATGGAAATATTTTAGTCCTATTGATAGAATTTTAATAACACGAATATCAGAATGAAGTAACAGAATGTATGTATATATATATATATATATATATATATATATATATATATATATATATATATATACATATAGTCTCGCTTTTGTTTCCTTTCAAATTTTCCTCTTGAATTTTCGATAACGATTCAAGAAGAATCTACGAATGATAAAATTAAATCATTTGAAAGAATTAATTAATTCTTTACGATCTCTAACGTTAAAGTAAATTAACTTTAAGTTGATACTATTGTCTGAAAGATAAGGGTTATAACGGTTGAAGTTCATTTCTAAAGAACGTCAGGGCAAAGCGTTCGTAATATTTCCTTTCGAGTACGTTTAAAGACATTAAGGAAATATACGGGAACATTTGCAATTACGTTTTTCTTTCTTATCACAAGAAAGAAAAAGTCTCCTTGGTTATTCAAGAAAATCGAATTTATTCGAGCATCGTCAGGCAAAAAAAGAAAAAAGGAAAAGGAAACGAATGGAAACAAAAAGAAAAAGGATAGAAAATAATTTTCTTCAATATTCAACCTAAATAAAGATAGATCTTACTATTATCTTTTAACATTGTAAAATATTCATAGAAATTTGAATCTCGTTGCGTCGAGACGAAACATGGATACGATCGACACTTGGAACGTTTAAACACGATTCACAAAGGCACGCCGGGAACGACCCTGAGATCATCACGTATGAGCAATGACGTTGGAATTGCCGAACGCACCCACAAACGGGAACCACCCACGATATATTCCATACGTTCATCATTTTTAACTCGGGAAAATGATTGGAACGTCGGAGAAAGATAAATACGTAATGAATAAAGATAAACCGTATGATGACTTGAAAATATTTATATCGTTGAAAATTCCAATGAATTTGTCATTGCTTCGATAAAAAGAAAATGACTAAGGAGAAAGGAGAAGGGAGAAAAGAAAAATAGAGAAAGAGAGAAAAATTGAAAAATTTCAAGAATAAAAGAACACAACGATCGTGGCATCTGGTTTAATCGAATCGTATATTCAAAGATCGATAATAGTTCCTTTGAGAAATGAACGTTTTGCTTTCAATTTTAGATAGATTTCGATGTCGAAGATAATTCGATAAACGATGAGAGGACCTGGGGGCTAAAAGTAAGTAAGTAAAGTAGCCTTAATAGTCAGGGAATCTCGGTTGTTCTCGAGTTCTCTTTGTAAAGAGTAAGATAGAGACCCCACCTCGATGTTCGTGGCTCGTTCGAGCGTGTCCTGCCGTTATTGCGTTGTACTCTGTAACCTAACGTGGTCCAAGACGATGGTACGCGTTGTCGCATGCATGTATCTTACTATATAGTAGAATAACGCGCGAATGTGTTGTAGGTAGTCTCACTTTGAGTTTCGGTTTCCTCCGCAACGTTCCATGTTGACGTATATACGTAAGTAAGCACATACTGCATTCTCTTCCTTTATTAAGTCAAATCTTATAACTTGTTTACGCATAGTGAGATATATCTATGCATAGTAGGTAGGTAAGTAAAGAGCACTATATGTTTACAATACTAAACTAACATCAGAGTTTGAAAGCTTCGGTTGGGATATTATAAACCTCGTTAATCTTGTCGAAGTATGTCGATATATATATATATATATATGTGTGTGTGTGTGTCTGCGTGCGTTACACATGAAAGAGAATTATCGAAAACAACGATACGAATACTTGGATATATTAAAGGATAAAGAATAGAAAGAGATAAAGACAGAGATAAAGAGAGATAAAGAGAAAAAAAAAGAAAACAGAAAGAGGGAAGCAAAGAGAAATAGAGAGAGAGAGAGAGAGAGAGAGAGAGAGATATGCGAGGATGTAACAAAATCTAATAAAATTAGCGAAATGAAATAAACGAGCTCAGTTCGCCTTTCGAAACATTCGTAAACCGGTGTCGTGGAGCCATCGGCTCGGTACGTAATTTGTATATAAAGGTCTCTTTACTGGGATGGCGGTTCTCCCTGGTGAAACTCGTTAATTTTAACACGACGAAATTTCTACTTATGCGCGTGGATCGAGAAGTATATGGAAAGAGAAGGCCGTGCACGTGTAATTGTCATTTGTTAGTAGATTTAATTAAAAGTACTCGTTACCTGACGGACACCGTTCTGCACGCCGTCGCTGATTATTCCACGGCTGATGCATATATTCAAAAAGTTCGTTGCGTTGCGATCTCGCCGTCGAATTATACGCTCGTCGTCGCACCGTCATCAGTAGTATTCACTCTTCGAAGCAATGAGGAATAGAGAAACAGAGGAGACAGAGAATAAGCGAGAGAGTGAGTGAGTGAGTGAGTGAGTGAATGAATGAATGAATGAGAAAGGGAAGGATAGAGAGTGAGAGAGAAAATGGATAAACGTTTGTTACTCGGAAAATGTATGTATTTTGTCGAACGATCCACAACGGATTGCCATCAAGCGGTCGCTTGATTGAAACGCGTCATGATTTACTCGTAGGACCGCTCGATTTCTCTCACGTATACTTTATTTTCAAATTGAATCAACGATCGTCGGTAACGGTATCGCACAAAAATTGTAGAGAGAGAGAAAGAGATAGTGGTAAAGATAAAAAGAGATATAGATCTATATATATATATATATATATATAGAGAGAGAGAGAGAGAGAGAGTAGGATACGTGCGAGGGCAGGTTGCTGTAATTGTTATCTGTATCGAATACCAAATATACGTATGTATGAAAACGTTACGTACATATATGATTTTTTGTTTTTTTTTTTTTTTTTTTTTTCATTTATGGAGATATATTTGTATATATACAAATATATATATATATATATATATATATATATATATATATATATACGTATATACTTCAATTTCGTTGCCATTGACATAGCTGAGGAAAATATTTCAAATGTTATTCGAAAGCGAAAAAGTCATTGTCGTAATTGTTGAAAAAAGTTTTCAGTAAGAGAAAAAAAGTATTACAGAAAACGGTGATAGGGTACAAAAGGGGACAATGAATATTCTTCGTTGTTGCTCCGGTCTTTCGTGGCATTCGAGTCGGAGCGGTGCGCTTTTTGTAGAATCGTTCCAGGAGGAGCCTCGAGAAGACCGAATCGGTTGCGGAGTAAGGAGTTTCGGACCCGTTAAGGCTAGGCCAGTTGCTGCTCGACCTTGAACAGGAACGAACTCGCATATGGCGACACGGAGTCTCGGATAACGTTACAAGTGTATCTACCTTTCGTCGTTCTCGTCCTCTCGTCGTTGTCGTTGCGTTGTCATTGTTGTATAGTCGTACAACTAACGGTTCGCGAACAAATATATAATAAAGAGATTAAAGAGAGAAAGAGAGAGAGAGAGAGAGAGAGAGAAAGAGAGCAAGAAATTAACCCTTTACGTTCATAACATAACGATTATTATAGTTAATCAATAAAGATGTAAAATAAAACATCCTTCGACAGTAGATAATATTCAAATTCGTGTCTTAATTCCGTAAGAATTTATCTCAGGATTACGAAGATAAGCTAAGAGAGATTGATAATCTCGTATCTCATATATATACATATATATATATATATATATATATATATATATATATATATATCTCATTTCAGGATCGATATCCACGACTCGCGCTTGGCCACGAAACGTCTGGGAGCGACGATACGCTAATTACCGTTCGTGTGTTTATCGCGTTCCACAAAGGGGGTCGCACGCGATACGCGACGAGAGAGGAGAAAGAAGAGAGGTATTACGACCGAATTGTTCGCTGGTTCGTATCCACATGGCGGAACTCGTTCATCCGATTCAAAAGAAAAAGAAAAAGAAAAAAAAAGAAAAGAAAAAAGAAAGAAAAAAAAGAAAAACATGAGAAAAAGTTAGTATCGCGATTATTCGATCCAACGAGTTCCGTATTATCTCTTTGCATTGTGAAAAAGAACATGACTAAGTACTTTATCACGATCTTTCAAAAATCACAAATTTTCGAAATAATGAAGAATACCTAGACAAATGTAATGATTAATTAAATTTGAATAGTAGGAGGGAAATAAAAACAAAATAAGAACAAAGGAAAGAATAGAAATACCATGATATAGTATATTAACGATTGTCAATAGAGATTTGATAAAAATCAACGTTTTTACGAATTGAGATTTTCGTTTGAAAGGACATTGTCCATCGTAAAACGATATCCAAAAAGTTATAGAGAGAATGGCATTTAGATGAAAGGTATTTACGTAAAATAGCGGTAAGCCGCTGTGTTTGGGATATAGTTTTCCATGCTTTCGAACGGAGAAACACGGCCAAACCAAAAGCAAGCCGACGCGATGTTGGATGCCGTTATTTATCCATTCCCCGTGGTCACAGGAAATCCCCCGGGATAGACGGTGTACGTGCTTTAATCGCGGCAGTGGCATACTGCCTGTGGCATATATCCATCCCGGGTGCCATGAAGCGGAAGAATCGACCTTTTAGGGAGAAGGAACAAAGCGAGAAAGCACCGAGAGTTTCTAAAAGCTTTCTCTATCTGTCTACGTTACACGATACAAAAGAATAAAATACGATCGATCGGTAAAGAAACGAACGACCAATGGCCACGTACGCATCGTCCTTCTCAATCGCTACTTTATCGAAAAATAAGAAAAAAGGTTACTTTTCTTACAGTAGATATTACTGTGTAACGATCTACCTTGGATTTTTCTTTTATCCAGAAACATAGAAACGAACAGAATGAACCTTACTCGTGATTATCTCGATACATAACGATAGAAATCTATTGAAACGTGTATCGCGGAGATATCGATTAGTTCGAACGTATCGGAAGTTTTGACTGTGCTATCACTAGCGTTAAGAAAACTTCTTTCATTACAAACAAATCATATCAATCACAATAACGATAATATAATAATAATAATAATAATAATAATAATAATAATAATAATAATAATAATAATAACAATAACAATAATAACAATAATAATAATAATAATCTCGCAGAACGAAGTGCAGTATCGTTTGACAGGCGCCTCGGTGCACTTGGGAAAAGCCTCGCGTATCGCTTTTTGTCGCACTGTGATTCAGCTACGCCGACGATCCGTCAAATAGACAATGGAGATTGTTATATAAATAATCGACATCGATAACGCCGGCGTAATCCAACACCGGATGAGAATCGTATCGGAGTCACAACACGTCAAAGTTGGAGCTCTGCAGAATAATGAAGCGCGCGACCTGGGTGAGCGTCGAGATAAAGTAGGAAGGAGAGAAGTGAGCGAGAGAAAGAGAAAGAGAGAGAGAGAGAGAGAGAGAAAGAGAAAGAGAGAGATTGAGAGAGATTGAGAGAGAGAGAGAGAAAGAGAGAGAGATCGACATATGGCCGCATCGCAGTGGGTGCGAGAAAGAGAGAAGATCGAAATCGTTCGGCATACCGAAAGCACGCGACGAGCGGAGAGTGGCTTTAGGTGAAAGTTATAAATGGCCGCATAAATATACATAAAATACAAGCGCGCGTACCTTTGATGTCTCCGCAAAGTGTCCACCGTTAACGAAACTATGCAGCGACGCGACGAAGGAGAGACGAGGCGAGAAAGGGTAAATTCGTCCGACGATTCTTGGATATCATCGAAAAGGCTTGTTCGTGTGAACTTACTTGGTATATCTATTCTATATTATTAAAAAAAAAAAAAAAAATAAATAAATAAATAAATAAATAAATAAATAAATAAATAATAATAATAATAAAACAAAAAAGGATAAAAAAGAAGGTTCGATTTTAAAAGGTATTTTATAAATGATGTTTCATTGGTTTCGTTCTTATTAAAGGAGACAAATCGAAAGGATTTTCGAAAGGAAGAAATAAACGGTTTGGTCGTAGTTACGATATCTTATCGCGAATAGGAGGACAGGAAGGTAGAGTTTACGGAGTTGGCCGATCTTATCGTTCGTTTTGCATCGGTTCGTTCTTGGACTCTGTATTCTCGCGTAGAATTCCTTCGAGGTCAGGGTCGTTGTATTATTTCTAAAGACAGGTGTCGATCGATTGATTTGAATCGACCAATCGATCGATCGATCGATCTAAAATTCTCTCTCCTTTTTCTTTCAACATATCCGATCTTATAACATTGTGGATGGTCATAAAAATCGATCGAGAATATGCATCCCGTAGGTAGGACACATTGCTTTCAATGTTTTACCACAGTTGATTCTGACACCAACGTTAACGGATCGAGTCAGAACCTTTCACAGTTCGATGAGCTTGCTCGGCCCCATTACTATATATTTTATAGTCATCGATTCGAGAGATCACGTTGTAAAAGGGAAACATTTATGTATCTCCTTTTGGAACAAGTCAATTATAGATTATGAATACACTACCTTTGAGAGTACTACCTACACACGATATTCTCGTATCTAATACATCCATATATCGTCGATCGTATTAACGAGATAAAAAAGTGACAGAGTTTTATTTAATACGTTTATATTTAGAATGGTACGCGATTAGAGTGCGAAAAAAAAAAAGGGAAAAGAAAAGGAAAGGAAAGAAAAGTAGAAAAACGTCGTACGGACTAAAACGATCTTCATTTGCTTGATTTGGAAGAAAAAAGAAAGAAGAAAAAACCCGTATATAAAGCCAACGAAATTACTTAGAAATAACTTCTCCGATGGTCGCGCACCTTCGAACGGAATAAGTAACGTTGTAGCGAGATTAATTTCGTCGATAAGCTTTTCCTTCTAATAAGGCGGACGCGCTATTGGATGAAATAAATTGTTCGCCTTCGACGTTTCATAGGAACGGACGGCCGGTCGTCATGAACTTTTTATTTATACGTGCGAACTCGAACGGCAACGTAATGGCAATTCGTGCAACGTGAAAACGCGATCGCATAATCTGGTTAGGTAGTAGGTACTACTAAATCCGAGACTAAGGTGTTACGATTCGTGCCCGGTATACCTACTTACATATATATGTACATATGTACATAGGGTGTGTCGCGAGAATCCCGTAATGTGTTGCAAGATGCAAAATCTTGAAAAACGATTCGCTCCTAACGTTTCGTATTTGTCCGTTCTCTCTCTCTCTCTCTCTCTCTCTCTCTCTTTCTTTCATCCTACTTCTCTATATTTCTCGTTCTCTTTCTTTGGTCTTTAGCTAGGCGTGTTCTATTGTTGGACAAGAGAGAAAGAGAGAGAGAGAGCGAGCGAGAGAGAGAGAGAGACAGAGATAGGAAAGGAACCACTGTCCTTCGTCGGACTTTTCAGTCGTAAAATACATTTCCATACGAAGTCGAAGTAAGGAACTACTTCGAAGCACGGATTACGTAGGTAGCTGCTTCTTCGGTTATTCAGGGATTAACCCTGATCGAAATTGTTCGTTGTACGAAAAGAACTTCCCTTTCTTGTTTTTCCTACTTCTTCTTTCCGCCCCTCCCCCCCTTTTTATTCATTTATTTTTTTTTTTTCGTTTTTTATTTCTTTCTCTTTTCTCCTCCTCCTTTTCTCTACGTTCTTTCTTTCTCGTCTTCTTCCACCCACCACCACCGGCATCACCATTTCGAAATTTTAAATCGCGCATTCTTGGAAATTAATTTAAAATTCAACGAGTTTAAAGCCAGTAAATTGACGATGGGGATTTTATGGGAGAAACATAAGAGAATCCTGGTTACGAGTCGTGGAACACCCTTGTATTATTCCATTCCCTGAAAGGTCGGAAAGATATTTTTCGATGGAAATCCTATCGTAATGGTTAGGGTAAGTAAGTACTATTAGGTACGGAAGGAGCTTATGCTCGAACATTGGAAATTGTTCAACCATCTTGTTCTTTCGTTTACGTATTGACGTATGTTAATTTTATTTTCATTTATTTTCTCGAATTACCCGGTGAAATCGGGTTACCAAGGAAGAAGGGTTAAAGGGACGACCGAATGGTCGCGCGTGCTCGCGAACGAAATGACGATGGGTTTCGTTTAGTTTAGTTTAGAGAATGCCGACATGCGAGACGATATTATCGTTGCTTGGTAGAAGAGAGGGGAAGGGAGAAAAAAGGGAAGGAGGAACGGGCGTGGAGTCATCGCGTCGGCGGCGAGGAATGACCGAGAAGAGAACCGCAAAAGAAGAGGAAGAATAAGAAAGAAGAAAAAAAGAGAAGAAAAGGGAAGAAGAGAGAGAGAGAGAGAGAGAGAGAGAGAGAGAGATAAAGAAAGAGAGAGATAAAGAAAGAGAAAATGGTAAAGGCCTTGGTGCAACGCGGGTATGTCTCAAGTAGAATGACAATTATTTCTGGCCACTGGGTAGATGGCGCTTGGCGGTTCTCCTTTGCCTCGTACTCATATGCATGCCCGTCATGCTTAAGTAAATCGAGTTTATTCTAAGCCCCGGGTACAGTGCCCTAGAATACTCCTTTCGATGGTCAGGTTTCCCGCCAGTACCACCGCCACCGCCATCGTCGCCGTCTCCGATCGAGAACGTGCGAGGCGCTGGAGTCTGGAATCTGGAATCTGAAGCGTGGAAAACGGATTACTGTTACTCCGGTTTGGTTAGTGCGTTGCTCTATCTATCTCCCTTCCGTGTTCTTTCGTTCGTTCCTTCATTCGTTCCTTCTTGCGTTCGTTATTTCAATTTTAATAAATTTTAACATTTCTACATATGGCATATGGGATATTGGCAAGAAGAAATGTGTCCTTTTTTTTTTCTTTCATTTTTTTTTCTTTTTTTCCTTTTTTTTTTTTTAAGAAAATAAATAATACATACTCAACATGTATTACTATATTTGTTCTTTTAATGAAAGAGGGTAGATAAGGGATGGGGAGAGAACGTAGTCGAGAGAAGGACACACGTCACGTATAATGATCGTTTCCGATACAATACTGTATGCCGTATATAATATTTTTATGGAATTTCATATATGACAGTCGAGAGAGAGAGAGAGAGAGAGAGAGAGAGAGAGAGTGCACATTTACAAGCATAAACGTTCAGTTTGAATACAAGTAGCATCGAGAGCAATCAAATATGATAGCGTTCACGTCACGTCGAAAAGAAACATTCGCGATTGGTTGTCGTTCTCGCGGTGGGCATCAACATCGGTAGTGGTCAATCGCGTTGAGAGCACCACGATCGACGTTGCAAATGGTAACATCGAGTTAACGTTGGAGAGTCCATCGAGTACGATGTCCATTCGAAAACGCGACAACGTCATCGACGTAAAGCGTACGGAAAAAGACGCGCGAGTTTCGATTTACGATCGTAAACCATTGTCGATGGCTCTCTCGAGTGTTTTCATTTTATCGTTCAATGTATGTACGAGAAAGAGAGAAAGAGAGAAAGAGAGAAAGAGAGAGAGAGAATGACATATATATTTTTCTCTTTTCGTACGGAGAATACGGAAATGCGTTTCGCCTGTAGAAACAAATTCCTACGACATTTTATATGCAATGTTATTTTTATTTTTATTTTTATGTTTATTTTTATTTTATATATATATATATATATACATACTTTTTTATTTACTACAAGAAACAATTTCAACAAGAATACCTTAGCCTTTTGTTCTTCTTACTCTATCGATAGAAATTATCGTCGAAGGTATTTCATATCATACGATAAATTTTCCACGCAGCGTATGGTGGTCCTATAAAGAAAATGATATACCAGGGAACGATCGTTCATTCTCGATGATGACGAGGAAGCTTTATGGAGAAGGGGAGAACAGAGGGCCCTCTCGAATTTCTCGTCAACGATGCGCTCCATCGATCGGCATTAAAGTTACGGAACGATAATTGATATCGCGGTACGCGGTTTTTGCGAATTTCATGGGATTCCTTCCTTCCCATTTTTCTTTATATTCTTTCTGTTTTCTTTTTCTTTTTTTTTTCCTTTTTATCTTTTA